CGCGCTTATTGTGCAGACAGTGACCTATCAAACTTGGGTCGCAAGCTTGAGTTTCTAACAGTGCTAGTGATGGTAGCTAAACTACTTGTTTTTCACAGCGGCAAATCCGTGTTCCAGCGCCGACTGCACAGAATCAGAAATTTGTGTGAACAAATATGGAGAGAATGGAGGATATCAGTGCCTTCAAGGTGAAATTATCAGCTGATTGTCAGATAAAATTAACTGATAAGCTAAATTAAAATGAGTGAACTAACAGTACAACAAACGTTTAAATGAAGCTAAGGAAGGCATTTTTGGTGTGCTTTGGTTTAAGGATTTGAAGTAAATATTGTATAGTCCATTCATGGATGCATGTTTTTCGTTTTCGTTTTTCATTCAGATTCTTGCTCTCTCAATCCATGCAAAAATGGTGGCAACTGTTCGGCTGATGGCATTGGAAGATACAACTGTACATGTCCTCTGGGAATTGGAGGAGAAAACTGCACAGAAGGTACACAAATTAATTCAACTTTATCGTTTCCCTTGATTTATCCTTATCTATTGAATTTATTTTATTCCAGTTTACGTCGACTTAGGGTCAGGTTAGCTGATAGTGGTTTTCTTTTATTATTTTCATTTCTTCCCATCTCAATTTAGTACCCTTCTGTTTTCTTATTTGTGATGCATCCTTCTTCATTCCACATTAATTTCATTATTAATAGGCCATTTCCGAGTTACCTTGTGCCTCTGATTCAAAACGAGTCCTCGTTCAAAACCTTTCAGATGAAAATGAGTTTGATTTGTATGAAAATGAACCTGTACGCGGAACACATTTTCATATGAATGGTTTCGCACAAAGACTGGTTTTGGCACAGAGGCAAAGAGCAACTCGGAAATGATCTATTGAACTCCGTATTTCTTTTAAAAGATTTACTTTTTGCTAACTGACAAGTTTGCAATTATGATTTGTCACGCTAATTTTATTCTACGTTCCTATTATAATTTTTTTCTGTTTTCAATTTACAGATGTCCTGAATGAGTGTGATTCAGGGCCCTGCATAAATGGAGGAACGTGTAATGATCGTCTTGGAAAGTTTGAGTGCGAATGTTCAAACGATTACTCTGGACGACAATGTGAACTAGGCAAGGATTTTTGTGAAATATTTAACATAATTTGTTCATTCGTCGTTTTGAATTTTTTTTGTTTCTTGGACTTTTCGTTTTAACACTGTCTGATGACTGAAGTCTCGCTTTCACGAATTTTTGCTGCTATGAAAGTTCGCTTCCGCTACATTGGCTTTCGCTACATTGGTGGTTCTTGAATCTTTGGCGAATGCGTTAACGGAATTTAGACGTACGGAAACTTTGTGAGAACAAAGAGCAAAAATCGGCGAAATTCGTTCACAGTACTTTGGGACAGTACTTTAGCTAGTTAGGCCCTCAGTATACTGAATGTCTTTTGCCAGTGTCAAAAGTAAGGTTATGCAAAGGTCACTTTTAGTGTCATTGCGACTTCGATGACAATGTCGGGGTCTGTCTATGGTTGTGTTAACGTCTATATCAATGACGGTGTCAAAGTCAATGGCAAAAGTAATTTCATTATCAGTGTTATTGTCAGTGTAATTATTGTCAAATGTCGGTGAGAATGCCAATGTGAATATTACTATCAGTGTTGATGTCAGTGATAGTGTCCATGTCGATGTCAGAATCAGTTTTGTTGTCAATGCCATGTCAATTGTCAGTGTCTCTCGCAAAGTCAATGTGAAAGTCAATGTCCATGCTAATGTCAGCGTGAATAATAAAATCTGTGAAACCATCTGCACTGGAGTTGATTTTGAAAACGTTTCTCCGCAGCTTGTGTCAGACAAAAGTTCAACTTAGTCTTTGTAGTCGATGGTTCTGGAAGCATAGAATCCCAAGGAAAAGGCAACTTCCAACGTTCCAAAGACTTCATTATTGAACTTGTGCGTTCCTTCAAGATTGGGAAAAAGGACACAAACGTTGCTCTGGTATTGTACTCAAAGAAAGCCAATGTGGTGTTCGATTTAGACAAATATGATAAAGTTGACTACATTGTGAAAGCAATCGATAAAATGTCTTATCCAGGTGATTATACAAAGACTGGTTATGCGCTGGACAAAGTGCGCACAAAGGTTTTTAAGGGTCTTAAGAAGGACCGAAAATCGCTACCAAAGGTTGTGTTGGTATTGACAGATGGTATGTCACAAGATGACGTGGCAGGCCCTGCTAAAAAGCTACGTGACGAGGGTGCGACTATCATCAGTCTAGGCGTTGGTTGTTGCTATGACGACCAAGAATTGAAAGAAATGGCCTCTGATCCAGACGAGGAGCACGTGTTTGAAGTGTCTTTTTCAGCTTTGAGCGAAATTAAAGGTGTAGTGCGAGAACAGATCTGTACTGGTGAGTTTACAAAATAATCTCTGAAAAAAAGGATTGAGACATTTTTCGCCTTTGTGACAAAATAAGAGTGGAGGGTGACATACATGACATGTAACATAACTGTTACATAAAGTAGTGCGATGGAACAAGTTCAAAGTTATTGGTTTTAGTTCTTGGCCAGTTTCAATTTTCAGTATTAAAAGTTAGAAAGCATAAATTCTTTTTTTTCCCTTTTGCAACCGGCGACTTTCCTAAGTGTATTTGAGTGTTGTGAAACTACTAGCCACAATGGTCTTATATCCCTTTCTCTCGATTGTTTGTAGCTGCCATGCACAGCCCTATAGTTAAATAAAATTTAATAACTTTATTTAATTGATTATAATTGAATTTTCCTCATCTTCAGTAAAGTTTGTTCAACGAACATATCGTCCACTTCAAATACATTGAAATGAATGCTCTTTTTTACAGTGCCATAGTTATGAGTTTTGCTTTATTATCAACGATTGGCAGCCGTTTATCCTGGAGGAAATTATTTTTCTTTCTTTTTTCACTTCATTCACATTTTAAATTTTCTTTCCATTCAGCGATCGACTTCTGCTATAGTGATCCGTGTCAAAATGGTGGAAAGTGCGTCAGTCTGCTGAGTGACTTTCAATGTGATTGTACACCGGAATGGGAAGGAAAAGAATGTGAATCTGGTTTGTATTTACTAGGGATGCTTCCGTATCTGTGTTACACGTGGCGGTTAAGACATGCCAATATAATAATTGCATTTAGTATAAATCTACTAGCGTTCTATCACGGATGCCGTTCTCTGATTGGCTACGCTATTCACTTTCTATTCTGTGATACATAGTGAGTAGCGTAGCAGTGTGCCCTTGTTAACAAAATGACGGCCGCTTCATGGCGTTTTCGAAGTGTCTGTGAAGAGGATTGAAATAAAGTTCTGAACGACTAGCAGATTTATACTAAAACAATTAGATTATTCCCTCTCGATTTCTATGCGTGGTAGTTGACTCGGGCGCACTATCACGCGATAGAAATCGAGAGCGAATAATCTAATTGTTTATTATATCTAGCGTTCAATACATTATTTATGTACAAGTGGATATATGAAAGGTCGTATATTTGAACTGCGGAGAAAGACACAAAGACGTGATTGATCATC